CACGGAGTTTTGGTAATGTCGGATTTTGCGTGTTCTTTGAATGAAATGTCGTTATCGGGGTGGATCCAGACGGCGATATATACGCTCACACCGCAGCGAAACTGACATGGAGCCCGCCATTACGCGCTTGCAAGGTGATTAGCGTGAGATTGTGCAACGCGAAATTCGAGGATCGCCTCGTTCAGTGAGTTGCGTTCAAGAGGAAGGAATGGGTTGATTGCAAATCCCTGCCGACCGCATAATGATGATGTGACTTGCGACGCGTTTCAAGTTGAAGCGAAGATCGATAAATTACAGGGTGCTTGAGTTGTTCGGCCCACGTGAGAGTAGCACTACTAGTCTGTGTCCGCAGCTTGGAGATGGGGGATGAGTACAACAGAGAGGGGATGTCGAAGACTGGGTGGAATATACGAACACATGAATAGCCGGTTGCAACAAGGTTTGCAACGAGGCTGAGGGTCAATGTGGCCAAGTGACGCAACTGAATAGCTGCGCTCCTTTACACAGCGTCCGCATGCCAACAAAGAGCGGATTTGAACCTGAGGCGGCGTTCGCGTGCTAACCTCTTTCGGAGCTCTCTTTGAACGTCAGTCTCGACGACTCCCGCCCCTCGCTCCTTGCTAGTACTTGTTCCTGACGACAATCAAAGGGTCCTTAGATCCTGAGCGGTGATAGAGATCTGGGGGCGTTGAATAGCGGGACTCTCGCGTAGCGAAAGACAAAGTAAGCGCCCAGTTTGGCAGACGAATTCCATCCTGGCCAGATTCGACATGGATCTGGCAAGTGGCCAGGGGCTCGGCCAAGATCTGCATCTAACTCAAATTCGGGGACAAGCAAAAAAAATAAAATTGAAGACAAGGAGTTTCAGTCCAATGCAATTGTAAGGCGGGGAACGACCATGGAACTTTTTGTCAAGTAACAAAGAGCGTCAATCCGTCAATCCGTCAATCTGTCGACATTTTGCTGATTGCTTTTCTTCAGTTAATAAAGGTTCTTCTAGTGTGTCTGCAGTTGCGACGGCGACATAATCCATTTCGCCGTCTTGAGTGCTGGAAAAACAAATCCCATATCTGCTGAGTGAATCTTGGAAAATTGGCATGACATCCGACGAAAAAGGATCTAACCCCATCACTTCCGTAAATGTTAGATGAGGTGGCAGATAGATTGGAGGAATCATTACGCAGATGCTCTTCTTCCGTAGTACAGAAGTTAATATATACCCTTTGACGAAGTGTGAGATCGTTTCGGCATCATTACGCAGTGGTTTAAGGAAGCGAATTGTGCTCTCTGAGTGTTCGTTGCTCGTTCGTACAGTATCTGGCGGCAGCAGCAACTTCGTCCACAAAAGGCTTCGACAAACGAGAATCCATATCGGTGCAAAAATCCTTAGGGACAGCCCTGACCAAGTTGATGGCGCAAGATAAGTGAGATCTAATACCTTCCCATTGTGGCAGGGGCGGAGTGATTGACAGGTACAATAATGTAACGACGCCGTACCTCCGACAACATGAGACGCGTTGACATATCTTGTACGGCCGACTGCTCTTGTTCCTGGCTAGCTAGAGCATCGGCAGACGAATGTGAAATATTGGTGATTTTTCTGGCCAAGAAGAGGGAAGCCAGGCTCGTCCTGACATATTTACGCTCAGAAATACCAAGTAGGAATAAGACCTATTCAATGGAATAAAGCATTACGGCACTGTTCCATGAACAGTAATGAATTCATCTTCAAACCCCAATTTGGAAATTACAAGACGACATCCAGATCTTGCCAGATCCCGTGCACATTCACTGGATCTGACCAACGCTAAGCGGATGTATTTTTATGATCGAGGTGACGAGTTCCACACTAAAATAAAAACAATTCAATCCAGTTGTGTCCTAGAACATCAATGGCTTGAACCGTTTTGGAAGTGTACTTGGACAATCCACAAACTCGGCTTTTTAGAAGTGGCGAGGATTACCGTAGATACAATTCAAATAGAAAAACAGTGACGAAAAGATGAAGGAACGCTAGGGTGGATGATATATGTTTCGGACGTACCTGGGAGGATGTCGACACATGCGGCGACAAATCCAAAAGGAAAGTTTGACAACCGTACAATGTCCGATTCTCAGTCTCTATTGCTCGTATGTCTGGGAAGCGGTAGTGCTATACGAATATGACGGAACAGATGCATTGTTTCCTGTAGATGTAGTTGTGGTCATCCGAAATGATGCTCGGGAGACACCGGACGATACCGCGCCACTTATTTTCAACCAAACACTGTTTGCTTTCAACAACTTCAACGGCGGTAAGCTCTTTCTGATATAAGTTAGCACCGGACAGCTGACTTCCCAAAGGCCGTAACATGGGAGATCAATGTTATCCATCTGCGGCTACTATTACCTTATGACCCCAAAGGTAACGAAAGGTAACGTCCATATTTGTCCTAGCGAACAATTCTCACCCTCGATATCCCACCCACCTCTGCCTGAAGATAAATACCGATGGGGGATCATAGCCGCTTCAGGCCCTCTTCATAGCTCTGAGACTGAGTCGAAGCTTACACCATGGCGGCACAATTCGACCCATCCCGGTTCATACTTCTGTAAGCCTCGTGTTCTTCTTTTCATTGATCGCACAGCTGACTTCTTCCTTCAAGCACTGGTCCCATCGTGAGTCATACCCACCAGCGCTCCCTCCAATGAAAGTCTAAAGCGATTACAGTTCCTTTCATCTGTTTTCAACTGGTGTCTATTCGGTATTCTACTTACGCAAATTTGTAAGTGGACATTGTCAATCAAACATTATCGTCGTTTATCACTCCCTCCTAGATATATTCACGATCTCGTTTCCAAAAGAGCGGTGGACACTGAAGGCACTCGGTAGGTTTCGCTTTGTTCGTGTCATGCATGGCCATACTGAAACCAATCCAATAGTCTTTACCCTCTGTGCGATAGACACCGTCCAGACGATTTTTGTCACTCACTACGGCTGGCATGTATTGGTTGTTGGATGGGGAAATCCGGAGGTTCTTGCGGGCTTTACTTGGTCCACCTGCACGATACCAATAGTGGACGGAGTTGGTGCGTTCTCACCCCCTTATCCATCAGAATCCCCTCTGACGGGCTTATTCGGATTAGTGTCCATCATTGCGCAAACATTCTTCGCCTGGTAATTAACTCCGGATTCTAGACCGTGATCCGATTTACTTATTAAAACACAGGAGAATTTGGATGTTCAGGAAGTATTTCAAGCCTGCTCTCTATATCTCCATCATTGTGCTGCTGGTTGGTTATCTTGACGTATCTTGAAGGTAGTTTGACTGATTTGTTTCAGGTTGCAGCGATGCAGGGGTTGAGCGCTATTGTCAACGGCATTCGTGTGAGTTTCATTTATTATAATGGAGTTTTGTGCCTTATGCGCCCAATTAGTATTTCTTCGTCACAGACATCTCTGAAATTGCCAAATTCAACTCGGGTGTCACCGTATGGTTGGCTGGTAGCTTCGTCTGCGATCTTATCATCGCCGTCGCGATGATCCTCATCGTACGTTCAAGTCTGCTTCGTTGCTATTCAGTCTCTCATCGACGCGCTCTTCTTAGTTGCTCCGAGTCCGCACAAAGTCATTCTCGGAAAACACTCTATCGCTCTGCACATCGCTCATTGTACACGTGGTTGAGACCGGCACAGTGACTGTGCTTACTGCTTGCCTGGAACTCATCCTTTTCCTAACCATGCCGAACAACCTCCTTCATTTGATACCGTGAGTGAACGTTTTGCTACGTTGTTCCTTCAAGATGAACTTATTTCTTCTTATTAGTGGTGTTATCCTGAGCAAAGTGTAAATGCCAAAGTTTTCAAATCGTCCGACTTGCGCTAATCATTTTCTCTCCAGTTACTCCAATGCTGTTCTTGCGAATCTCAATGGACGCCTGCGCCACAATAGATGGGGCGATGCAGGTGTGACACACACCAATGTCAGCCACACTGGCAGGACTGTGGACATCAGCCGTCTCAGAAATCAGCAGGACTACGAGACAGAGACAGCATTCAACAAGTCAACGATTGTCGGTATTAGCCTGCCAGAGACGGACTATCAAAAACGTAGCCCAGACAGCCCAGTATGATGATCAGAGGTCTTATGACTTAACATGACAATCCTGTACCATATTTCGGCCTTCATTGTTCGTACATATTCGCGCACTACTGCACTGTAAACTCGAGTCCCTAATATGTCCGCTAATACTATGATGCTTGTCATCGCTCTTGATACCGAAAATGATGATGTATTGAATAAGATGGTTGACTGACGTCACATCCGCTTCCCTCTTAACTTGTACAACCGAAGGCCCGTTAATAGCATCTATGTCCAGCACGGCCAATCCACCAGTTCTTACACCCATCAAAACGAGGGGCACGCAGCCCACCACGCTTATCGAAACACAAGAGGAGGAAATCTATCAGGCGGGTATTCAACTTCCGAGATTTGACAATCGTTTGTCTGAATCAGGCAGATCGCGGATAACACACAAGCCGCCTCTGTTGAAGATCTATACGCCATGGCAACGCCCCGGAAAAAGCGTCCTCCAGTGTACAGAATACCAACTAGCAATACTCCAAAGCGTTTCATTGCTCCACAGGCACATAGGACAACGCCGGACAACTCGCCCTTGTTCGAACCTGAGGTCACTTTGCCATCTCTCCCTTCCATCTCTCGGCTATGTAGCGGGTCACAAGAGAGTCTTTTGGACGTTTCGATTGGGAGTCTCTCATCAACGCCGACAAAGGTTCGGATGCCTGAAGCCGAGAGCATGACTATTGAGGAAATATTACAACGAGGCACGTTGGACAATGCATGTCTTTTGGGTAAAGTCTTTTACACGAATATGGGTGTTATTTCTCATAATACAATAGACCTTGATTTGAATGCCAGTACAAGTGCAGCCGATGACCTACTTTGGGAATGATACGGATATTGTGCATACATGTTTGTCGCAGTAGAGATTAATTTGTACGCCCGCCTAGCTCAATCGGATAGAGCGTCAGACTTTTACGATCTCTTGGGTTACCGGGCTCCTGGGAATACACGATTGAAAATCTGAAGGCTGCGAGTTCGACCCTCGCGGTGGGCTACTTTCTTTTCCATTTTTTAGCTACTCCATCAGATATTTATATCCACGTCTATGTGACTAATAGTTGATGCGTTCCATGCTTTTCGGGCGCCAGGCATCTTCTGTATCTTCACCATGGATGGCGCAGTTCCCTTTGGTTTTTCCACTCTCAATGTTTCCGGAAAATACATCTTGGTGAGCTAGCAACCGCCCCGTACTATCGACTTGACCTTACTCATCGTTTAGAACAAAACACTCAGTGACAACAGTGATCAGATTCTCCAGATGCAGGGCATCGGATGGATCACACGCAGCGCAATCAGCTATGCCAGTGTCACCTTCGACATCAAGCACGAAAAGGATGAGGATGGCACGGAACGGCTGAAAATTGACGAATATACCACCACCGGCGGAATTGCTACCACAACAGAGCATAGGGTGCTGACGTGGAAAGAGGTGGAGCACGACGATGTCTTGTTCGGCGCGATGTTGGTGAAGGCAAGAAGGTGCAAAGAGGAAGATATAAAAGAAGGATTCTTATCCCAAGGCTGGACCGCGGATACTCAAAAACATGGGTTAATTCAAACCGTTATCAGAAGTAATACTCGGAAGAGCGGCATTATTTGGACTGCGAATGAGGCAAGTAGTATCATGTTATGGACGAGATATAATTTAAGTCCATTGGTGCGGATCATATAGACTTGGGGTGTGGAGGAAGCCAATGGCACAAAGAGGTTCACAAGACGCGTGTACTTTACGGGAGGACAGAACAAGGTGGTCAAGGCCCGGTTGGTTTATGACTACAGTAAGTTCGCCCACCCCGCGTCTTCGTTGGCAGGTTGCTAAATTCGAGTGTTCCAGCGTGGTAATCCGCCTTATCACTGTTGGCTGGTTGACGAACTCAGCTGGCACATTTGTATAAGATCTAGGATACATCGCCTGTGAATACTGTGCTGATGAGGATGTAATATAGTGCTACCTTCGTTCTATTTTTAGAAATTGGCTCCTAATCAACGAAGCAGCCTCCTTTCCAACAATACCTCATCCGATATGTTTTCCGCGTTTTAGTCCAGCCCGACCTGGTGGATCAGCTTATGTCACAATCGAAGCCAGCCTCGAATTACTCAATTATGTGGTGCCTGTCAGCCTCATCCGCTGTTTATATATGACATTTCGACGATCGCCTCACAACTTTTCCTCCCTTCATGGCTTCATACGAGACGCAATGGCGAGGCAGCGACTCTGCTTCTGAATTCGGATCCGACGACAGTGTCTTTCCTTTCTTCAACTCTTCACCTAACCGTCTCGACGGCAGACCAAGACTTTTGCCGTCAGATCAGCGTCCCTCTGGATCTATTTCTGGGCCGCAGCTTTTTCCGATTTCCGAGTATCCTGCACTTGTCGGCATAGCCTCTTTGGGCGATTATGCCTTTTTAACGAACGGGGGTCTTGCAGAGCCCGCCGCTATTCAACGACCTCACTCAATGGCGGACGACGTCGAGTACAATCTCAACTATTTCAATTCTTATCTCGATCGCTCTGCGACCTCGGACAATGACACTGGGTCTGGTTCCGGAGCCGGTTACAGTTACGGACTCGTTCCTGCTCCGTCACTACTCGCTGCCTCGGGCGCTCCTCTACCATTGAACAGCTCTTATATGCAATCGCCTCATTCTAGCCGTTTGGATTCACAGTCGACCTCACCTATTCACACAGTCGTAACATCACGCCTAGAGCCCTTAGACATAGTTCCGACCATACCTCCAGCTCCTGATACCCGCCACGTATTCTTCTCTGACAATGGCATTTATGACGTGACCTCCTCGGCTCATGACATTTATCATCTTCAGCAAGGACTCAAGCAAGCGCAGGAACCTTTGGTGTCAGCCTCGGGTGGCATTCAACCGTCATTCTCGTTCTCGTTACCTGGTATGCCAAACGCAGAAGAGGCTTTTCTGAGCCAGTTTCAAGAGCCAGTGACAAATATTGACCCAGCCCGCGTGGGAGAGGCGCTTACTGGAGAGCAACAACAGGGCGTTCACTATCCGTCTACTTCGGATAACCAGTCAACCTTTGACACTCTGTCCGGCACGGATATCTTTGGGACGGATCAACAAGATTTGGCACCAAGGGGTGGATCTCCAAGCACTAGCGATTCGAGCAAGTCGAGCCAGAAACGAGGAAGGGATCAAATAGAGCCGTCCACGGCCACCCCTGTCAAGCGCCAGCGCGTGAACCGGTCCGAGGATAATTATGTCCATAGAAGTACTCGGAAAAAGATGCAAAATGCTTCTTTCGATTTTGACTTGGTTTTGGGAAGCGACGATGAGGGCGAGAATGATTCTGGGAACGATGATTCCGACGCATATATCCCATCTCGATCGCCTTCACCTGTTCTTCCATCCTTTGTGGTCACGTCTCCAAGTCCATCTGCGTCTCCATCAATAGCTGATGAGCTGTCGACAATTGTTGTCAAAGGCAAAAGGGGACGAGGAAGAGGTAAAGGAAAGGCGAAGGGCAGCGCAGCCCGTGCATTGGCTATGGTCACTAGAGCAAGAGAAGAGCAAGACTCTTTGGAACTCAGGTATCCTGATCTATCTGACGGAGATGGTCTTTCGATAGGGGGCGCATCTACCGAAGGTGCCAGTAGAACAAGGCGGGCCCCGCTACCTGTTCCTGTACCGAATTTGATTAAGAAGAGTCGCGGAAGAAAGGTACCATATGTTCCAGTGCTACGCGGGGGAGAAGGAATCGGAGAAGGCGTTCCTGTCACTGACATTGTGGCTTTGACCCCTAGTGGTCGCAGGGGCAGAAGAAGGACGGCAGCAAATGATTTGGACGATGACGCGTCTGCTGTTGAAGAGCGAACGTTCATCTGTATGGTTCCCGGATGTGGGAAATGCTTTGTGCGTGGTGAGCACTTGAAGAGGCACGTTAGGAGTATTCATACCGACGACAAGCGTAAGTCGTACATGCGGTCTCTTTACTGGTTGCTGTCTGATCTCTCGCGTAGCACATGTTTGCCCGCACAAAGGCTGCGGAAAGTCGTTCAGCAGAAGGGATAATTTAGGACAACATGTTCGGATTCATCTAGAGGAGTGATCTCGGGATTATCATCTATACTACATACATTTATTTCGTTGATAAGATAATGGATTTGGATACCGTAATCAATATTATGCTTCCCGACTATCATCTTTAACCCATGGATCCATTAGCGGGAATGGATGATTCTTCAACAGACGACGAGACGGCGTCTCAGACGACAGAAGAAGACACCCAGGTTCCCCAAAATAAGACATCCCCACCTCAACCACCACCTGCGGCTCCTCCTACTCAACCCCCGCGACTGCCTCCTCCCTCGGGGGTTGCGAGAGAAAAACCGCACTATGCACTGCAACACACACTACGCGGGCACACAAAGTCAATTTCTGCCATAAAATTCAGTCCGGATGGAAAACTGTTAGCTTCTTGCGGTTCGTGCACCACAGTCATTGTCCTTGACTACGGCACTAACGATTCCAACGTTTCGCGGTCCTAAATCGATTCAAAATCCGTAAAGACAGGTGCCGAGAATGTTGTTAAGCTTTGGGATCCTCAGACTGGGCGGCATATAAAGGATCTTGTTGGTCATACTGAAGGCCTCTCCGATATCGCTTGGACATCTGATGGCACTCGTCTAGCGTCTGCTTCAGACGATACAACCATTAGGATATGGAAAGTGGAAGCCGTAAGTACCGCAATTGTCATATAATCACGTTCGCTAAAATTTTTACTCGAACACAGGGTACATTACAGAAAACATTGAAGGGGCACACGAAATGGGTGTTCTGTCTCAACTACAATCTTGCCTCGAATCTACTTGTCTCTGGGGGTTGCGATGGGGACGTTCGGATATGGAATGTGGCGAGAGGTACGTGTTCACGACATGTTCAAGACATGTTTTGACATTTTGTGAAAAGGAAAATGCATGAAAACGCTTCATGCGCATCTCGACTTTGTCACTGCCGTGCATTTCAATAGAGATGCGACTCTCATCGTATCGTGTGCGTTAGATGGGCTAATGTACGTGATACTTCCTGGGCTGATGTTCCACGTTTAACCGCATACACAGACGAATATGGAACACTAGTGACGGACAATGTCTAAAAACTCTTGCGGAAGGACACGATGCCATCTGGTGCGTGATTACTTGGTCAATTCTTTTTGGCACTTGACATTGGGGCGACGCAGTCAACAAGTTCAATTCTCCCCCAACTCAAAATATATTCTTTCCACGGCCCATGATAGTGCAATCCGCTTGTGGGATTATCAAACGACGCGCTGTCTCAAGACGTATACCGGCCACGTCAATGCGAAGTATTGCATATCAGCGTGCTTTAGCGTGACAGGTGGCAAGTGGATCGTGGCTGGCAGCGAGGATCACAAGACGTACATTTGGGATTTGCAAACGAGAGAGCCTGAGATTGTACAGGTATTGGAAGGTCATCAGGATGTCGTCGTCGCAGTCACTGTCAGTGTCTTCGTTCAATCCATCTTATCACTAACCAATCTATTCACTACACTAGACGCATCCAAAAGAAAACATGATCGCAACGGGATCGATTGATTCAGATCTGTGTATCAGAATCTGGGTCGATGTTCCTCCGAGTCTCGAGAGTTACTGCTTGACGTATGTTGACATTGTATTGCTAGTGTATAACCATTTGCTTTGCGAAATCATCACATCTCTCAGGCTGGCAGCAGTAGAGCTGTGAATGTTCATGGCTCAACGGTGGCCTAAGCATGAGATCTTGGTCAGCCTGAGCTTCCAAATGCAGGTGTCTCGGATGCAACGCAGGTGGTCCCTGGGCCATGCATCTGTTGGGTTTCGCTCTGAAATGGGCTCCAGGACGGTGTTGGAGATGACAAATATATTCCAGTTTGACCTCAATGACGGCATGAGGCAAACAGATGAAAGGTACAAACAAAGGTAAACAACTCTACATATCTGGCTAGATGTGTGCCACGACGCTCACAAC